GGAGGCCAACGCTAGTAGGATGGAGGCCATTGCTAGTAGGTTGGAGGACATCGCTGTTATATAGGTTGGAGGCCGATGCTAGTAGGATGGAGGCCATTGCAAGTATAAGTTGAAGCCATCGCTAGCAGGTTGGAGGCCATCGCCAGTAGGTTGGAGGCCATTGATAGTAGTTTCGAGGCCATCGCGAGTATATAGGCTAGAGGCCATCGCAGTTACATAGCTTGGAGGCCAACGCTAGTAGGTTGGAGGCCATCGCTAGTAGGAGGCCATCGCCAGCAGGTTGGAGGCCTATCGCCAGCAGTTTCGATGCCATCGCCAGTAGGTTGGAGGCCATCGCTGTTATGTAGGTTGGAGGCCAACGCTATCGCTGGTATTTTGGTAGTAGGGTTGAGGCCATCGCTATTAGGTTGGAGGCCATTGCTAGTAGGTTGGAGGCCATCGCTTGTAGGTTGGAGGACATCACTAGGAGGTTCGAGGCCATGGCCAGTAGGCTGGGGGCCATGGCGAGTAGGTTGGGGGCCATCGCCAGTAGGTTGGAGGACATCGCTACTAGGTTGGAGGCCATTGCTAGTAGAATGGAGGTCATCGGTATTGAGTGGGTTACCATTGCTTTGGTGGAATCGCTTCAGAAGTCAGGACCCAACAAGTTGCTTGAAGCCGCCACACTGCCAGGCTGGGCTTATGCATCCCAGTGGCCGTGGTGAAAACTCCATAACGCCACTGGACTGTGCAAAACGAAAGTGTAAATCAAGATGTCTTCACCTTGACTGGGTAGTGTTCTGTCATTTGGGTGACTACGATGCAGACTTTGCTCATTCTTTTGGCATCCTCACTTCAATCTGTGTGACTCTGCTATGCCACTGTATTGGAAAGGTTGGATAATTTCTACTGCCTACACGTTGCCTACACTGGAAAGTACGGCCAGCTAACGCCCCGAAACGTTGAGTTGGTTGCCAAAATGAAGCTGCCATTGGTAGACCAATTGAATATATTGAACAACGCCTATAAAACATGAAGAACTTGGGCAACATGTGGGCTTGCGACCGGCCTATTGTGAAAGCAGTCTTTGCCTGCTTTCCACGTTTGTTGCATGTACTCACCCATCATTTATCTTGAGCAGCCCAGAGCCTATGAATCAACTGCCGGATGTTTAATTTGTGCTGGGAAAGTCGCTGGAAACATGGCCTGACATTTGGTGAGAGTCTGACATAGCGAGCGAAACTGCATCAGTAGTTGTGGGCGAGGCGTCTTGACATGAACTCCTTCAACAAGGTGTAGCTGCCCAGACCAACTTTGTTTGCTTCTGAAACTGCATGGCAGCCACTTACTGAAGGCAATCTTCCACGGAACAAAGGCACCAGGTCGCAAGCAAGGGCTTGAGTTGCAAACATATCCCCTTCAAGATAATGATGGCACATCGTTCTGTCGCTGCCAGGTGATGGCAACCAATGTCGTTGGCCCGGCCTTGCTTACAAAGGCTTCCAGATGAGTGCACTGATGTAACTGATTGTTTCGAAGGATTCATCATGGAGAGCTGTTCAATGACTCCTTCCCCTATTGAATCTCATACTTTTGTAGGTCTACTCACTCAATATTCCTTGTTGCCCAAGCTCTTTCCGCCTTCATTGAAACTCTACTTGCAGTTTGGGTCACCTGCAAGCGGAAAGGCTTTGTATCCGCGACTGAAATCTGCTGGGCAGAAAGAGCCCAGCAAGGTGGAAGCCTCTGCAGATCGTGTGACTTACGTTGAAGAGGGTTGGATGTGCGTGACCAATGCAACACAGTACGTTGCAAAACGTACTTCTCGGATATGTAAGAAAACTCTGTCGCGCAATGCTTGATGTATACTGTATAGATTCTATTCCAAAAGAATGTTTGATTTCCTTTAGATTTCGCACCCTGATAATTGCATCAGAGCGTTTCCGGCATTATCCGGAGGTGGTGGCAGTGGGTGCTGGTGTAGCATCCATCAGTGGCAACCAGGTGCGGGTCAAAAGAGTGGTTGCTGTGGCCCATGCTTGGTCGGGAACCACCAGAAAGATCGTCACTTCCGCGGGACAACATGTTCCTAGTAGCTTCTTGCTCCTAGTAGTACGGCCAGGAGCCCCTAGTAGCGTCCTTGCTCCTAGTAGCGATGCCAGGAGCCCCTAGTAGCGTCCTTGCTCCTAGTAGTACGGTCATATAGTGAAGTAGGCTTTATGATTGGTAGAGCTTGGGCGTTTGTCTTTGCAATCCTGTAATCAGCTTGCCGTGACACTGAAGAGTTCCCCAGCACTCAAACGGCAAATCTTGCCTCGAAGTGCCTCCTCCTAGTAGCTTCTTGTTCCTAGTAGTAAGGTCAGGAGCTCCTAGTAGCGTCCTTGCTCCTAGTAGCGATGCCAGGAGTTCCTAGTAGCGTCCTAGCAGACTTTTGCGGGTTTTGCGTGTTAGCACCCCCAAGATTGGCGGTGAGGCTGGCGGATGGTATTCGTATCGGACCTCTAAGACTGCAATGAACGTGCTGCAGTCGCATTTTGCTTTGACTCTTTGATTTCGGTTTGGAACATGACATTGAGAACTTGAACTCTTCTAGTCATCCATGTTGTCAGTTGTCATTCCTCGTTTGCTTCTAAGGCCTTCATGAAAAACCTTTCCATTGAAGGTGCCCGCCACAATGTGACCGCCTTTTCGCCGGGTCCTCAAAGCTGGGCATGTTGTCATGAAGTTTTGTTCCTTTCCCAGGCGGCTTAGATTAGGGAATTGGGGCAAAAAGTAACACCTTCAGAATCTGATCACGTCAAACAAGCCAAGACATTTGACAAGCCAAAGTCTACGTCTACGATCTGCGGAGCCAATCTGGGATTCCACAACCGAGGCTCTATCCACAAATGGTGGATACAACTCTCTCCAAGCCCTACGTTCTTGATCCCAATGGCAGTCGATCAGTGTGTTTTGTGAAAAGAGTGACGGTGCCGTTCTGGAGGGATGTGAAGGGGCTTTGAGAGACTGACCCATTGTTATTGAATGAACCCACTGGCATGCGCTTCTAGCTTTGTAAGTGCAAACTGCGCTAAGAAGACCTTTTCGTTTGTAGACCCAACCCTTAACCTTCCAGTCTGTCAAGATTTCAAGTGTCGCGTATTTTGGGTGATTGGCAATGAATGAACAGGTGTGTCCAATGAGGGCATTCTTTCCAGAAATTCATCCAGTGTTCGACGTTCGAAGCCTGCTTCTATGCAGCATCATAGTTTACTATGCTTCTTTCTTCTCCGAGGTCAAGGGAAACCCTTATCCAGAACTAAGAAGTCCAGAGGCCGAGCTTATCAAGTGTCAGATCTTCTTAGCCGTCAGCCCTGTGACTTTTTGGGCCTGGCTTCTTATTCATGTCACAAGTTTGTTGAGACAGTTTTGGTTGGTCATGAGTTTTAATTTTTCAACGTTCTAGCTCTCTCACTGCCAGTAGTCTTGCGAGTCACAGCTGAATGTTTCAGGGCTCAAAAACAACCTTTAACCTTGGGAGGAGACTGCCGAACGGATGTTGGAATTGACACTTCAAGTGCAATGGGGGCCAAGGGGAGTGAGTGCAGTCGATGATAGAGGGGAGACTGGGGTTCAACTGTCTCGCCACTTCGTGGCTATCCTGGAAGCTGCTCTCTTTTTGGGTCGAGAGGGAAACTTTATGTATCGTTACTTTACCCTTAACTTTTGCATACGTTCTGCTACTTCAACAAGTTTGAGGCTTCAGCAAAAACGCAAGTGCGTAGGCTGGATGCTTGCGAAAGCAAACCACAATGAACGCTCCTGGGTTCTTCGAGGTGAACACTGTGAAGGATCCGAGATGGGAGCCAGTCACTCCACGTTGAAATCCAAGAATCATCGATCTCTCCTTCGACAACACTCAACAACTCACATGTTTTTAGTTGGTCCGCTCATTTCACAACCTCACCACCTCGTGCTGTTTAATAGCCATGAACTTATTTGATCCGACAGGCCACCCTCCTATTGAATACTCACGAAAGCCAGCCAATAGGCTAGTGGAGTTGGGTTGGGCGAACGAAGTGAGTATTAGGGGGTGTGGGGGGAGTGGTCGCACACGGATGAGTTGAAGAGGGCGAACCCAGAGCCTGGTGAGGGAGAGCGAAGAAAACTAGTTGGAGTTTGGGACTTGTTTTTGGAGTGTTGTGATGCTGATGATGTAATTAACGGCGAAGGGCGAAGGGTGCATCATTAGCATCATGAGGGGCTCAGTAGGCATTCTAAATCGATTTTCATGGCGACTGAAATAGTGTTCGACCAGAACTGAAAGGGAGGTGTGTGTGGAGGAAGTGGTAGGAAAAGAGGGTCTGCAAGAAATCTTGGAGTTGCTGGCAGTGGGGGGTGCCGTGGTGAAGACGCCTGTCAACCACACGCAAAAGGGCGCCCGATATGGGGTGGGAGTTCATGCAATGATGCGATCCGTTGGCAGGAGAGAGAACAGAATGCAGCGGGCAAGCTTTGAATTGCTTGGGGGCGCCCTTTTTAACGGTGAAGAGGCCTAGTAACCAGACTCAAAAGGGCACCCCATATGGGGTGGGAGTTCATGTGGATGAGACACCTTTTCTATGGTGAAGAGGTCTGTTGACCAGACGCGAAAGGGCACCCCATATGGAGTGGGAGTTCATGTGCAGGATAAGCATAGTGGGGGAGGATGTGATAGGAAAAGAGGTGGGAGCTCACCAGGGATCTCGCGTTCACCCCCCATGACCATCTTGATATCTTTTTTCGGTGGCTGGTTTTCGTTCCCCCATCTCAGATCTCAGGTCTGAAAATATTTTTATACAAATACATATTGTATATATACATTCTGTCAATGTTTTTCTATGACCCGACAAAGTCCACTCAAGTAATCACACATGGTCTTAGCAGAAACTGTGGTTGGTCCCTGTATCCAACACTGGCCTGTTGAGCCGGGGGACTTCTCTAGGTGGACTCAGTTGGAAAACACAGGAGACTCAGTCCTGCTCTAGGACCTAGTTTTGAGAGCTTTACTGGAACTTTTTGAGCTGAAGTGGACCATCCTCAGGATCCACTCCTTCGGCATGAATGACTCGGGTCGCTTTGTGAACATTTGGTCACGGCAGGAGCATTGGCATAGCCTGCATAACTGTCAATGCTGTGGATTTGATGAGCCTTAGATATAGTAAAAATGGAGAGGTTTATGTTCGCAGCACGGAGTGCCTTGGTTTGGATTTTTGATGTCCAATGTAGCTATGCAGTGGGCAACTCCTCATGCAGGTACTCTTTAGAGACAAGGTGGTGATAGGCGATAGGTATATACTGTGCTGGCCTTGCTTTAGCTTGTGCGCGTTTGCCTCTAGTACACCTCGTCTCCAATCCCCCTGCGTTGGCAGGACATTGCCTGGTGAGTCAAGGGTAGGCCTAAGTCCTTTGACAGGAGATGGTGAACAACGCCTGCAAGACCTGTCAAGCTTTCTTAAAAAGTGCTTTATGCATGGCTCTTTTGAGGTTGAACTCAAGTGCATGTCAAAGTCAACAGGTTTTTTATGCTCAAGGATTAGAACTCCCTTACCGCAAAGTGTGGAAGTTTGACGGCCCCTTCAAGGTATAAAGTGCAAAATAGTTCGTACAAGCGGGACTATAGTTGTTGTGGTTCTGGTTCTGAAGTTCACAAGTGCAGTTTCTTCAAAGCTGACAAGAATGAGACTAGGACGAGGCACTCAGAACTGAAGAATACAGTGATGCCTTAAACCCCCACGATTTTTGTTTTCACTGTATCAAACTGTCAAAGACTTTTTGCGCCTATTGGTTTGCCTCCGTCATTTTGCTTTCAACTCTGCAAGATTAAAGGGGTTATTGGAGCTATAAGAGCAACTGGAGAGTTCAAGCCAGGACTCGGACCTTTTTGAACGGGCTGATCATTTTCCAAGATCCAGAACTTGTCACGAGTGGGAGATCGTGGGAAGTTGGTCAGTTAGTTATTTGGTTCTGTCCTTCCGGCCTTAGTGGAAGGGGCAAGTTTTGCAGCAGCTTGACATATCTTGACATTACAATGATGGGTTTGGATTTAGTCAGAAACTTGTTCCAGCTATGTTTCTGATTTCCGATGGAACCAGAAACCTGCTCCAGTTTCTCATGGTCTCAAGTTTGATGCCTTTCAGATACTTGTTCATATCACTAACACTTCTGAAGACCGAAGGACATTCGTTGTTGATTGTAGCAAATTTATGAGAAGCTCTTGCATGTGGTGTTGCATGCAGTTGCAAGTTTGTGGTTTCAAGGTTCACTGAGTTTACGTTGACAGTGGGAGAGTCTATAGAGTCTATGCTTAGTTGCTGACTGCATTTTGTGGCTTTGCAGCAAGCCTGTCGCCGACGGCGCCGTTGGTGCAATGAAGCAAGGTCGGATGGTGATTCAAGACTGCTGAGTTGCATTTTGGCAGCTGAACCTCAAAAGCATGCTTTCTGACATTGGGTCAACCCACTTTAATGAAAGAATAGACCCTTTGTAGTCAGGTATCTTGAGACCTGGAGATTCATAGAAGATGCAAGCAGTATAATCTGGTTGCCGTCCTTTTCCATGAGACTGACATGGTGCAGGCGTTGTGGCGTTGCTGCTTCTGACAAAGACAGCTGCCACTGTTTTGAGACGCCAGGCTTTGTTGGACATTTTTGCATCAGGAGACTTTTTACTCTTTCAATACACTAGTCACGTTGGATGAATGTTGTCCGTGCTTAAGTCTGCTTAAGTGCTATTTCTGCACAGTCAGAATGTGTCCATGCCTGGGTTAAAAGAAGAGATATAACATATAAAATAGGACAGCACACACACACACTGAATCCAATCTCAAGTAAAATGAACACATTGTTCCAATGGCTTGGAGATCGAGGTTCCATTACGGTTCGCCTGGGGACTGTTCGAAGCGTTCGGAAATTCGTTGTATTCCAGGCCAGCAATAGCAGCCGTCCCTCTTTCGATCCCTGCAGCTGCACCTGCTGCACTGCAGTGGAACAAAGCGGTCTGATCTGCGTGCCGGGAGGTGCCAAGTTGCAAAGAAAGCAGAATGAAAGTGACCTAGACAAACTTGTCGTACAAGTTTACCACATTCTGTAGTTAGAAGCTAGCAAGGTGAGGCATATACAATGTGTGACCATATCGAGTAAGTCGTCAATGGCAGAGGGGTACCGATGGCGTCCTGTCCTGTTGTGTACAATGCATTTGCTATGATCCTTGGTCAACTTACAAGGAACGAAACATAGTTCATGCAAGCAGCGTAGCAATGGAAGTTTGATTTGGAGGCAAGAGGGGATTGGATTCCGTCTTTACATGTCGCGCGTTTTGAAAGCTCAACAAGACGTGGCACGATGTGACACCATGTGACACTACAGCAACAAGAAGCTACTAGTAGTGATGCACTTGTTACTAGTAGCAATTATTTTTCAATGTGACACGATGTGACACCTTCATGTGAAGGTGATAGCTGCAAGCTTTGTGCACCCGGTCTGCTGCAATCCTCCTTTGCTGCCCTTCACAATGAGGCGAAGAATTGAGCAAAAAAGGCAAACATATTGGAGATTCCAATATATAGAGTGAGCAAAGAGGACTCATCTTGAAGCTTTAAGAACATCATGCGACTTGTTTGGACTCTTTCTAGTCTTGCCGCCTCGTGGATTGGTGCCACACAGCACTGCCTCATTGGAACGTATACAGCATATGTTTGTTTTGTTGCGTTCATGCTCTTCACTTAAAACACGTAGTCAGAATAGCTTGGTCATCTCATCCATTTGTTTCTAACGCTACGTGCCTCAACTTCTCTCCACGAGTTTCAGAAGTCCAACCACGCCCATTTACCTACCGGTGGGGGGGGGATTTGTGCATGCAAAGTGGCAGCTTTTCGAGGTTTTCTCCAAGAAATCCGATGTTTTGTTTTTTGAAATTGAAGCTTGAGGTCGACTATTCTCGCTTTTGCTTGTCAGCTTGTCGACCATCCAAAGCCTGGCACCCAGATCACATTTGCTTTGGACGAACTGGGTCATGTTTCACGGGGTCAATGAGTCAATCTAGCTGGACTTTGTTCTTGCCCAACGTATTCCTGACGCTTCGCGTCGACCGCCGCCCACACCTTCCTTTTTTTTTCGGTCGCCTGGGGAAAGACTGCTGGAGTGGACAGGGGAGGTCGGGAGTGGTGTCCAAAGAGATGGCTTGTTTGCCGCAGCATTTTGGTAGAGCAGTTTGGGGCAGCGTCAGTGCGTTCCAACTTCTTAATTCACATTATGTCGAACAATTTTGCACATGACAGTATTTCTATGGCCATGTTGCGGCCGAGTTACGCACAAGTTCGCTCGCTTGGTGGCCATGTTAAAGGGCATAGGTATCAAAAAAATAAAAAGAGCATCAAAAAAAAAATAAAAACAGGATCAAAAAAAATAAAAAGCGAATCAAAAAATAAATATTCCTTGATAGGCCTCTTTTGCTGCTCTCCTGGCCTTGTGGTCTGCGGGTCCTCTGGTAATGTGGTCCCTTGGTCCTTTGGTCCCTTGGTCCTCTGGTCCACTGGTCCTTTGGTCCCCTGGTCCCTTGGTGCTTTAGTCCACTGGTCCCCTAGTCCTCCGGTCTCCTGGTCCTCTGGTCCTGTGGTCCGCTGGTCCCCTGGTATCCTAGTCCTTCTGTCTCCTGGTCCGCTGGTCTTTTGCTCTCCTACGGCGCTCGTCTGTCGATCTCCTGGTCCCCTGCTTGCGCAAATAGAGGCTTGATTGCTTTCTACTAGAGGCAGCTCCCTGGGAAGAAAGTAGGTACCCAACGATAAGGTCGCCGTCCAGTCATTGAGTAGCCCTACTCGAAAAATGGTTCACCAGTGGAAATAGCTCCCTACTAGGAGGGAGCTCCTGGGGAGGTACACTCTCCTAGGGAGGGGTATTTATTTTTGGATTTTTTTTGTTTCTTTTTTTGATTTTTTTTGTTTTTCGTGGCTTCTGGCTTCTGGCTTCTGTGGCTTCTGGCTTTTGTGGCTTTTGGCTTCTGTGGCTTCTGGCTTTTGTGGCTTTTGGCTTTCGTGGCTTTCGTGGCTTCTGTGGCTTTTGGCTTTTGTGGCTTTTGGCTTTTTGGCCTATCCATCTATCTGTCTATACCTATCTATTTATCTATCTATCTATCTTTCTTTCTTTTGGCAGCTGTTCTCCTTTCTCTTTTTGTATTTGCATTTTCCTGTTGTTTTCGTTGCAGAGACGAAACCAAACAAGGAAGCAAGCAAGCAAGAGCTGCTCACCTTTGGATCTGGTGTGCTGCTGGGGGGGG